GTAGCAAACTAAAGGCCGCAACGTGCAACTATAAATAGACCGAACCGAATTGACCCCCGATCCATCTCTGGCCCTGGTCAAATCCATCCATAATATCGACGCTTGTCTGCATAGCATATATCCGTGAATAGGAAGCCGGCCTGATAATAATGGTCTAATAAAAGCGGAAAGTTTTTAACATATGTCGAAAGCGGACATGGAACGAACGCCTAGAATCGATTATTCGTTCTTACCCAACTGAGTGACAACACGTCTTTCGCCGCAAACCAACTATAACGTATCTACACATTCTACGTATACAGTATACAAACCTGCCTTAAGCGTCAGCTTAGCTTATCCATAAATACTACTTCGTGCTCATTGAGGTGCTTAGTTGAGGGCTGCAAGCGTCACGGCGCGTACATGTCCATAACAGGTTCAAGTTGGGGAAAAACGTACATCACTTGAACGTACGGTGACAGGCATCACGTACCTCATACACATTGCGGCTGGCCCACGTACAAAGAGTGGCTTCTTGTATGTTAACTCAAGTAGCGACAGAAGCTGTATAAAGGCCAGCACGAAGCGGGTCGATGCGCGTAACGTCTACGTATTGTTCCGCTAATACATTAATATTAGGGGACCAACACGTTAGTAATAATAGGTGATTTCTAGGCTATCCAATTTACATAGTAGAAAGGTAAACCTGTCAAAGCGAAACGCGGACCGTGTTAGCTTGCCATTTGAATTATCTCTGTCACTGTGGAATAAATAGTTACCGTTAAGTAAAATGGCAGCTAACAAATAATCGATAAGCTGTTTGCTTCCATTATGAAATGTAACATTTTATACGCTTTTATAGGTAAGTTAAAAATGTATAGCTTATAACCGTGCTGATTCAGGCATACTGTGTCGGATCTGCATGTGCAGATGGGGCTACGTCTCGTCTTTGGGTTTGTATGCTAAGTATAAACTATTTTCGGATAAGTAAAGATTAAGTACTCCAACTGTAACTAGATTAAGTGCCATGTATGAATATCATGCTTTTATAACAAAGCTTACAAACTACATTCTGTCCAACTCATTGACTGGCCTGAATGTAGACACACCTACTCTTGAAGATTTTACGTTTGTCATAATTTCTTTCCAGCACTAGGCCGGTTAAACTGATTATACGAGCACATAGAGACTGCTAGTGCACGCCATGGAGGTGTTTTTATATCACCCGCAGTTATGATGAGGCCTTGCGACTCTTTGACATAAACACATATTTCCAGGTGTCTCTGCCCCTGTATAATTGTCAATTCGATGCCTATTTGCGCTTCGTCTACGTCGCTATGCTCGATGTCTGCGTAAAATATAGAGAACTTATTCAAGAAGCGTCGATCTGCATCCCGCACGAGGGGCGGTGAAGCTGATGATGAGGCGCTGCCGCAGACGGGTCTCTCACGTCCATCTGCTGACCCTTCATTCAGAGCCAGTTTTTTAAAATTCTAGATGCAAAGTTCTTTCCGCCGCTCATTTCTCTCAACAGTCGAGTCGAAGCAGGAAAAAAGTTGTCTGAGCTCATGGTTGGGATGATACACATGATCACACAACAAAACATTGAGTGACTCCGTAACCGAGGGACTTCGTTCCTCCGATGGGGATAAGGGCGGCGACGGACGCTCCAGGCAGTACAGGCCAGCAGCGCGAACAATAGAGCGTGGACGCAATGTGTTTTCCGGCTGAATTTTAGTCCGGCGAAGGAGAGCTCTTTTTGCCAGCACAACCTTCACTAATGACCCCACGACGACCTCAGGGCAATAACGTTGTGAACTGGGGATCGACCGGTGCACTAGTTAGAAAGAAATGCTTGAAACTGCAATGGCGATTGTTGGGGTAATGATGCAGCGCCGAGACAAAACGAAGCGGTGTACTTCACAAACGAGCATTGGCTTCGGACGTGTGCGTGTGTAAACATTTTCTAAGAAGGTAAAAGGTGGTAAAATTGTCAACGCTTTCATCTGCCCTGTTGGATTTCAATTTGTTCAAAGTGATGGGCCGAAACGGTAATGGACGCCCGCCATAAAAAGACGGTGCCTGTCTTACTCGCCTGCTTCCACAGAATATTCTCAGGTACTCCGAGCAGACGGTATTGTTCAGTTAGCTAACAACAGTAATTTCAATACTTATTACATGTCGAAAAACAGTAGTACAAGTAACACTATGGTTTCAATTGTCTTATGAGGCTAAATGCTACAGCTAGAAATGCACGTTTATAGTTGAAAAGTAAAATTATGACGTAAAATAAATTCAGTTCTACACCTTGACCGATAATATAATTTATAATCTATAGTTGTTTTTAATGACAACTAACGTTTAGCTGCGTTGCATGACACATACACACCAAAATCATTGCATAGGTTTTCCATCTTTGGTCTTTATTCCACCGATTTCGGGGAAATTTTAGGAATCGACTAGTTTTTTACCAAAGGAAGTTCCAAAACTGCAATTGCTATTGCAGAAGAAGGCACTTACCTTTAGTTAGAGAAAGACGATTGCTACTGAACCAGAACCGAACCTTAGGTAGCAAGCCGGCTTACTTGCAAAATTCGAGCATGTGCAATGATTTCGAGAAATAACAGTTTGGTACGAAGCAAAAGAGTAGGCTGGATCTATTTATAATCATTAAAATACGGTTATCGGAGAAACATATTGCCTCTCTTGATTCTACAAGCGCGTCAGAACGCATTTATGACTCACGCTGATGTTGATAAAATCCGTTCTGACAATGTTATTGTCAGAGCGGATTAGCAAACATTTAATTAAAACTCTATGCTATCTTGAGTTGACGCTTCTGGAACGCTTCCAGAGGAAGGATCCCCCAGCCTCCCTGGTCTCAGAGGCCAGGACAAGCATTTTACTCCAGAAAACATATCCATCAGAGCAGAACGTACGAAAAAAAACCTGTCCATTTACTTCGTAGTGGTAAGAGCGTATGAAAAATCTTTATGAAGTTACCATCGATGTAACCTAGCCTGCAGTAAGTTTATACTGGCGTTCGTCATAGTGGAACAAGTTCAACTGATGATGGGGAAACAGCGGAATATTGTTTCATAATCAAGCACACTAATACTAACTTCAAAAGACCACCCTGAATTAAATGAATTTTGTAACAGTAGCTTGTTGGCGAAATTGCTGAGAACTTTTTGAGGTGTGCTGTGTTAAACACAATGACGCTTAAATGCATATCTGTAAATTTACTTTAAATAATGCACACATGTCACAGAAATACAAAGTTACTTCTCTATTTGCCTTAGTTGACTCCTCGCAAAATCTGAAGTGTTCAAATTAATTTTTAAGAACCTCTGCTAGTTCTGCTAGCCAGAAGTAACACTAACAATTACAATTACAAATAACAATTACATTTATGGTAATAGTAACTAGGTTCCAATCCGCCTTAGGTCGGCTCGTTTATATATACTACTCCGCTTTATCGGTGACCAAAGCGAAGTACTTGTTGGAACTTGCTCCAACTCTTTAAACCTAAACCTGTTCGCTTATTCGGATATATTGCAATGCAATCAATTACAAACCGCCAGATCATTACTTATCAAGAGAATATAATACGCAGTGAGACGACTGGTTAAGTGTAGATGCGGTTAATGGCTCGAGTTTGGCAAAAGTCACGCAAGTTAAATATGGTTATTTTTCAAGTTTGATAAGTTTGTGGGACTGGTCCCATTTCCCTTAGGTATAACCAACGAGAAGAACAGCCAGCGCGTGATCACTGCGCACCTGACGAGAAACTCTGTTATGGTCGTAATCGGCTATCTATCTTATAGTTACTAATTATATATTATGCATACGCGACACTGTTTTTTTTTTCGGCGAGCAATCGGATTGCCATAGTCTGTATGATTAGTATAATTCAATCCTATCTGTTCAACTGTGTACGGCTATCTACGTAGAATATCGGGATGCAAAAGGCATATATACACCATTGCGCCGCCTGCATTTAACAGTATATTTATATTAATAGACTCAAAAAAATAACAATTACATTCTTAAGTTAAGTAGCCACGCCTCCTCGCCGTGCATGGCGCTGGCACGCACTCTGGCAACAAAAGTATGGTATGGCGACGCTATTATTATTATAGTGCCGCGATCGATGTGGTGGGTTTTTTTGAGTTGACAATAGAGAAATACTCGATATTGTAGTTTATATAAAGTAAAAGTATGGTTCTTGCTATTATCTGCTCGGCAGGAGGCCGGACCCCACTTCGGTCCCCTGGGCTAGGGTAACCATCTGCAAGTAAGATCCAATTTTGTCACAAACAATAAAGCAACATGGGCAAAAGACAGAATCTTCCACTGGTGATGATCCGGACCGCGAAGCCGACCCAATCTACGCCATAACTTCATGTTCTAAAACTGTCGTAAGCGGATAAGTAGCATAGTCATGACATTTTCTCATTGACTTTTGACGTTGCTTTAAATGCGTATATAGGGTCGTGGGACGAAATACATATTACACTTTATATGTATATACATAGTTTTACCAAGAATATAACATTTCTAAAATAGATGCTTACACATACTTATTAATTTGATTCAAGTTAACAAAGTCAGCGGCGAAACACGTTGGCCTGTCGAATTTTATTTGAAAATAAAGTGTTATACTGCTTGATCCTTGACCGCTAGCCGAAGGAAGCGCGCAATTTTCAAAGGGTATTCTCAGTTTTGTTAGTTTTTACTCGGATATTCCAATGATGAAGCAAGCCGACAGCAGCAAAACAAAACAAGGAATTGAGCGAAGTCATTTTACACTGTGTGTGTTATAAGAGAATAAATTTAGGTCTGCACCTAGAACTCGCGGTATATTAGATAAAGCATCGTATTAGAAACAGCGAGCACCGTTACGTCGGACAAGTTCTAAACACGTTTGATAAACTCTGAATACGAACTGCTTAGGACAAAGCTATTGATTGTGATCGGGAAAAGCTTACAATGTGGTCTTTTCTTTGTCCCCATTTCAGGTTGATATGAGCCATATGATTTTTGCATCCGTTCAACTGCAAGGAAACAGGTCCACCATGATTGCCACCAACGTCGTGTCACTTGTTAAGAAGGTAAGCTTTGTCGACTACACGAATACATGTACAGCTTCCATGAGAGCAGATTCACAATGGGAAAAATCACTTCTCCATGCACCGTTCGACTAGCTAAGCTAGACGCTATTATAGAAACCATCACAGACGAGTAGCAAAGAAAGGTGCTTAAATTGCTCAAATGAAAAGAAACACAGGTGGAGCCTGTCTAACACGGTCTTTCATATTATACGTTAAGGACAAATTGGTAGCGATGGTATATTTCAGGCTGAAAGGAACTTCAGGTTTTAAAAAACTAAGAAAAATCACTCCTGTTGTTTAACTAGACGCCATTATTGAATGCCCTTGAGGCTGGACCCTTTTTTATATTAGAAAAATGCCTTGTTTTTTTGCAGTGTATGCTTAATTTCCATGCTCCCTTGTTTTCAAAAATTTCAGCATCTCTGAATGCGTCTTGCTGAATGAAGGAGCTATTAGCAATCCTCTTTTTGTCGGCTAGCCATTATTCGTAAAGGACAAAAGGACAAAAGGAAGGATGCTTATCTATCAAGAACTGTTCTTCTTGAAAATTTAGCTTATCATGCAAGGTACGATCGAATCGAGGTACCAGCGAGGGCGTACGACCTACGCATATCCTTAAAAGAGATCAGCTTCATAAACTACCAATGTTACTGTTTTTCAAAAAACTTATTTAGAATCATCAGAGCAACATATAATTTCTAGGAGACGAAGCCGTACGAGGCTGACCTAAATGTTTCACTAGTATCGCTTTTATCGTCTTTGCGTGGTTACTGGTACATGTACACAAAATGAAGGGGTAGCTGTTGTCAACTGTAGTTTACATGAAATCCGCATTTTCTAACTTACTAACACACTATTTCTAGAGTCGGGGGATCATCTGCATAAAAATGTCCACTTAAAATATGTACTTACAGAAAAGTATATGGGCCTCTGCGTATACATTGCTAGTGTAATACTTACACATGTTATACTTAACTATTTGAACTATTGTTCTTATGTCACCATCTCTAACCGGAGGCTCAGTGAGGGCCACAAAGTACGCACAGAGGATAACCAGGATACTCAACCTAGCTTTAGCACTATAAGCCTTAATGTCTCTTTCGTGATCATTACCATGCGTAAATAATTTGAAACACTATTTTCTGAGGACAGCTATGGAATACGTGCTAAAATCATTCTCTCAGAAGAGTCATTCATGCTTTTTTAGCTTGTTCGGGGTTGGCTTTATGCATCGTGCGCTAGTTGTAGTTGACATCCAGATCAATCCCTATAGGCGTTTACTTTATTCTGACCGCGTGCACGTCTGTATTATCAACATACTTCCGAATATTCCTTGCGTTACGTTCATCACGTTCTAAAGGGCCATACGAACTTATTTCTTTAACGAACATGTCCAGATGTCAATCTCAACGCGAACCGCAATTTTTCGGGCCATAAGAACAATTCAGATACCGCCGTCAAAGTTTGCTTTTAAGGTTACCCAAGCTTTGGACCCAGACAACCCCCATCTGTGATTAATGGTAATAATAACAGCCATAGCGAGTATCTAACAATACGATTATTTATTAGTTGTGATCAGATTGTGATAGATCCTTAGAAAGCCCACAGCGCAGGCAAATTTCAGAAAGATTTCAATCTAACTCGAAATATATTTTCATACCACGATGACCGGCTTAACTCTAGTTCGTATTCAAGCACTGACTGTGGGAAAAGTTTCGCCCGTCCAATGGTGCTTCGAAAACCTTATCCAGGATTCCCGTTCACCATATCATTATTAGATGAATGTCAGTGAAGAGCCGCTGCTATTGGCTGGGCCCTACATACACAAAAGCCTTTACAAAAAAAAAATGCTGTCTCTGCTTTCATGAAGCGAGCTTCGGCTAAATCGTTATCTTGGCAAGAACATGCTTTGCAGTACATGAAACATGCATTTTCAATGAGCACGTTTCTGTACTACAAAGACACGATTGTGAACGTGGCAGCGAATCGAGCATGCATCAAAGTGGTATTTTTCTACAACTTCTATGGTATAATTCCTTTCACAGTGACGACACCCGATGTATTATCCAGTTTAAAATGTGCAACCGGAATCGGCTTAAATGGACAGTGCAGCCCTCGCCTTCATCGAATTGCTACCTCTGAGGATTTTACATATTGAATGTTTCCAGCTAAATACGCCTTACGATCTGATAGAGGAAGTCTAAACCGGTTAGGACGATTACGAGCCTAGGAATACATCTAGCAGAATCAAGCTCTGGTAGGATAAGCATAGGCCGAAGCAAGTTTTTCAAGTATAGTATTTATTCCGCTAAGTCACAGAAATATGACAATGACGGCACCGTTAAAAATGCTTTTCATAGTCTACACGCTGAGCGTCGTGCATCAGGGTTATGCTTAATCCGTTTCAAAAGAAAAACGTAACTTACTGTCGCTCGCTTAACGCCGCGTCGACTTTTGTCTTCAACATGAAATATTGCCAATAATAAGCCAGACTCGTACGGGTAGGATTTAAGGGCAGCCGATGTAATGCTTAAGGCAGCTGGTAACTGCAGAACTTACGACTCTTCAATGACTGTATAAAGTATGCGTTAAAAAATGTAGCACATAGGCCATCTAAACGTGAAAATTAACTTAGCACCGCACCATTTTTTTTGCCCGCGTCTAAGCATCCGAGGATCGCAGGCTGCTTATCGTGCACGTTACATTCCTCTCAAACAGAACACCCTGCTGTTATCCTTGGGGCTGTAATCACCTTTGGAAACTTCTACGGTTTTTCTAATAGCTTTTCTCGGCTACTAGCAATACTTTACTTTGAGTACTTCATCCTGCTTCTGAGAACTGATTATCTTGGCTACCTGCAAAGCAAAGCGATCGAACTTTTGTTTATACTTTTCCTCTACGAATATTCACAGAATATAGTTTATTGGAGCTGCCACCGGAAGGAATCTACTTTTTCACACATGTTTAACTAAATAAGTTGCAAAACCCAAAAAGATTCATTTCAACAAGGAGCCACGGGCCATTTCATACAGCAGGTTTCATTAAGAAATTGGCGAAATAATGCGGCGTCTACATTTACTTCACACCAACTCGAATGCTGTTATACGATCTATGCGTTTAACCAGAAGGGATTATTTCTGATAGGGTTAATAGTGGTATCCGCGTAAAATGTAGGGCCCGTTCGTCTTAACGAGCATTGCATCAGGATTTGAACTTTGTTGTTGAGACTAAGATACAGTATTTAATTTTTGTATATATAGGAGCAAATGCAAACTTTTCCGCGACAGTGTGCAGCAACTATTGAGGAAACCGCAACTTCAGTGACCTCAGGAGCAATCTGCTCCAGGACATCAGATGGCTTCGTCTCCTCCTACTCTTTGTAGGCAAATAGACGACGACAACAACGACTTTACTCTGAGCACTTAAGTACGTATTTAGTTGTTGCACGGAACGATCGTCGCAACTCCTTCGCCCTTAACTGTGAGAACAGCTTCGCTTACTAAAATAGCGTAGGGCAATATATTTTTCCCGAATCAAGATTTGTATTTGCCGGTCACAGGCTAAGCTTGCAGTGACAATGGGAAGCCAACGCGTCTGGGTTGTATCAAATCCAGTTTTCGTTTCCCTAATCCCCAATCTAGTTATTTTTTATTTAATAAAAGGTCATTAAGACTAGGTTATGCCTTCTAGCCTTTCAAGTCTGCGACAGATCAAAGGCCCAGAAGACATCTGCGGATGATGGGTCTCGTGGATCGTGGTGAACAATTTTAAGAAGTATTCATTACCTGTATGAGTGTAAAACAGTAAAAGCATAAGGGGTTCAAGTTGCGTTAACAGCATTTTCGATCATCAGAGTTGCAAGGAAACAGCCTTTTGAATGCAACTTATAATGCTGTTAATATTTGTCTGCTCCAGGATCTATACGCGGAGACGTCAAGCATCGTCGTACCAGAACCATGCGCCTGTGGCTCATCTAGAAAATTTTCTCAAACCGAAAAGACGCTTTTAGAAAGAAGCGTCAGGATGATACTTCTGTACATCCTGCGGCATGCTTAGGACAAAGCGCACCTCCACGAAAACAACTACCGGAAAGCGTTGCATTTCTCAATACACTGGGATTCTCATATTCGAGCCGCACATAGTCTGTATATCTTCCATCGTGAGAGGAACACCTGCAACAACTGCGTACGCGTATTGCCCTATACCTTCCAATACGTTATCGTTCCCGAAGCAATTCTGGAGCTGGTGGGGCACTGAATAGGTAACAGCCGAGCGATGGATAGACGACGCCATTACGTACTTGAAAAGTCCTTAAGCAACCGCACTAGGATCGCTCTTGTCATGTTATCTGGCCTGCGTCATTATTTGACGTCGGTTACTCAGCTCAGTCAGCAGGGACGTCGAGCTGCAGACCTCACAATCCCATGGGAACTAGCAGGTGTGGTATATCCTGGCTCCCGTCATGTGAACTAAGCTGAACGGACGGAGATTTAAGTGCGGATCAGCTATTAAATATTTTCTGTCAGCCAAGGAGTCTACAGATGAGAAAAAGATAAGTAGACGGACGGGCGAAAGTTGTCTAGCGAATGTAAAAGACTGAAGGCGCAAATCGCGAGTACACTGGAAATGAATGTAAGTCATTATTTCACGCAGTATCACCGAAAGTGCAAGACTGAATGACACTTTAAGATGTTTAACTTCCCATCAGCGTTCGATTGCATCTCTTAGAATAGTAGAAAAAGACACAGTGAATCTAAATTTCGTAGTCCCGAAATAAACAGCCTTCCTGCTGGACAGTTTATCCTCAGTTTGAGGGTTGGGTCTACCGACGGACAGGTTTTCAAGGTTGCAATGAACGGTCCATGCGACAAAATTGAAAGATTGTCTTCATTTGCATATCCTCAGTTGTCTAGGTAGACCGTAACGTTGCCTTCGCCTGATACAATCAGCTTCGGCCAAGGCGGACGCGCGAATATTTCTATTTGCCTAGAGGCAGCTTG